GGATACTACACTGTTACTCTAGAAAGATCAGTTGGTCTCCCATTCACATTCAGAAATAAACTTGGTTCACAAAACCAAGTGATTTTAGCAACTGGTCAGCTACAGAATTCTCTCTCTCTCCCTGCATGTCTACCTTAAGAGGAATTGATTTGAAGCAGCAGTTTGGCATGATGTTTGCTGAGATAATTTAGTGATTGAACTGATATGGTGCTTATTGAGAGTGAGTGCTTGGCAAATATCTAGTCAAAAAATGGGGAAAATAATGGAATGAAAAACAGAGCCATAGATCACATAACTCAGATTTCCTGAACATTAGCACTACAAGTGTTTTGAACTTCAACTCCCAGAAGCCTTGGCTACATTAGCCAATGCTCAGGAATTCTGGAAATTGAAGTTCCAAACATCTTTCAGACCACAATTTGGGAAACACTGAAATAATTTATTGAATATGTGGGGGATTCAAGAAGATACTGCCTGATAAAACTGGGAAAACTTACCAGGGACAATAAGATTGATAACCTGTTATCTGTGGAGGAAATATTGGAGTTAGAACCACAAAAGAAACCATTAAAATTCTTCTTTGGGAAAGAAAATGCTTTGGATGTTTTTTAAAAAAGGTGTATTATAATGGCAACCACAAATATGTGGTATTAGCCATGTGATGAAGGGAATCATAATTAGTTTTTGTTAAATACTGTCAAATTTACTTCAACTTACAGTGACCCCATGAATGTGAAACCTTCAGGTCGCCCTATTGTACTATGTAACAAAATTTGAAAAAAAATCTGTTCCTAGTTTGAAAGTGTTGTATTCTGTTTATTGTGAAATACTTACTTTGAAAGTAATTGTTATACTCCAGAAGCTTCATTTTTGTGGCTGTCACAAACTATATTGAACTGGTTGAGAATCTGAGATATTCATTGAAAAACTATAGCAAAATGTGTTGCAGGATGTCCCACAAAAACAAAGCTTTGGTAGTTTAATAAACTTTTAAATGATAGAACCAATTAGGAAATGACATTTATAATCCAGGAAAAAAAATGTTACATAGTGTTATCAACAGTTTTGTTCAGGTCTTGAAGGCTCAGGGTAGCTGTGGCTTCCTTGATTAAATCCAGACATCTGGAAGCAAGTCTTCCTCTTTTCCTTCTGCCTTCTAACTTGCCAAGCAGTGTTGTCTTTTCTGGTGAGTCACGTTTTCTCATGATAATGGCCAAAATATAGCAGTTTCGGTTTGGTCATCTTGCCTTCAAGGGAGAGTTTGGATTTGATTTGTTCTAGGATCATTTATTGTCTTCCTAAGTATCTGCAGAACTCTTTTCTAGCACTCCCATCTCAAAGGCATTGATTTTCTTCCTATCAGCTTCTTCACTGGCCAGCTTTCACACCATAGATAGAAATGGAAAATATGATATCATGAACCATCCTAACTTTTGTGTTCAATGATATATGTTGATACTCCAGGATTCCAACTAATTTCTCATTCATGTTTGGAGAATTTTGAACTATTTCAATGTCTTTTTCATCTACTTTAAATTTATGTAAATCACCTGTGGTTAATATTCACTGGAAACCTTCCTTTGAGCATTCTTCCTTGACTTGGAATTGTTCCAAGTCTTTCAATTTTCTGCTAGTAGTGCGATGTCATCTTCATATATTAAATTGTAGGTTCTCCTTCCCTTGGATCTCATGTTTCTTCATCCAATTCTAATATGTTCAGCATACAAACTAAACAGGTGTGGTGATTAAATAATCATTACATAATGCTCATCCATGTATTTGGAATCATGTAATCACATTATCTTACAGCATTCTTAATTTTAGAACACAAGCATAAAATGCATGATTGGAAAAGTCCCTCTTTTGGAATATATCTACTAAAATCCCAGGCTAAAGAAATCCACCTTGTTCTTCACCCTCAGCCAATAACAATAGGCTATCTCTGATGAGGAAAAAGGCTGCATTCAGAGCAACTCATAGTTGGCCTGATGGCTATGATACTAGTGTCAGTATTGCTGTTGTTGCTGTCCCCAATACTCACACTCAAACCAATACAGACTAAATTTTAAAGCTGTTGGTGTTGTGTGCCTTCAAGCTGTTTCCAAATTCTAGCAATTTTGAGGTGACTCTATCATGGGATTATCTTAGCAAGATTTGTTCATGTAAGTATGCCTTTGCCTTTTTCTAAGAGTGTGTTAAATGCCTAAGGTCACCCAACAAATTTCCATGACTCCACACTAGCACTTTAGGATTTTCCTAAGTATGTTTATTTAGAAGCTTGCCCACAAGCTGATGTGGAATAAAAGGTCTTATTTCAATATAAAAGCAACCAGGAGACTTGGGGATGGACAGATAGATGTCCATAGTTCACATAGACAAGATGAATTGGGCTAGGGCTGAAACAGGTTTCATGGAAACATGCGGGACTCAAGACATTTATACCTGGAAGAAATAATTTAAGTCCAGATATTAAAGGAAGCTCAGCCCTATCCTAAAAATAGGTTCAGTACCTTGAAAACCTATTTTATAGATGAGACTAGACTCACTAGACTACAGCATCTTCATCATTGATGACAAAAGTTAATCCCCAAAATAAGTTTAAGTTATTGACTCTGTTTTGGGTTTTGGTTTGGTACCTGGACAGATCCTTTAAAGTCTGGAAAAAACCTAGAGTGTATTCATTACCCCCCTAAGAAACATGTCCACTAACACACCCCACCTGCCACTGGAGCCAGAAGAAAGTGTATCCTGTCCCTTTCCTCCCACCAAGACATATTTTGCTCATAAGGACCCAAGGCAAAACCTTCTGAGTAGGTGGCGGTAGTGGTGATAGCTTGCAGCTGGAGGGATCTGGCTACAACTATGAAATGACTCTCCTTCTTCCCTTGAGTCCCCCTTCTGGGCAGACAAGAAGGAAATTCCTTCTACAGGCTCATTGTGGAAGTTTCCTACTTTCCCCCTTTAATTCATTACAGGAGGTAAGGCAGTTCCTCTCCATTGCCATAAATCTCAGAGAGACATTAGCTCTGTTAACAGCATCTCGCTGTACAGCCCTTGGCTTGCTCAGCTTTCTCTCTCTCGCTTGCTAGTTCCTTCAGGAGAGAGGAGAGATGGGTGTGAAAACCTCATAGGAGCCACCTCTCATTGCAGCTCACCTAATCTAGCAGCCATGGCTCTATCCATGTAGAAGGCACAGGGTTAAAGAAATGCAGTCAACTCACATACACAATACACAACCAACATAAGTGTTGGAAACACATCAAAAGCACTACATGTTTGATTGCTTTTCCTTGAGAAATATTTGGATGCCTTGTTGACCATAAGAAACAAAGGCTAGGAATCTGATAAGCAAAGGAGTAGGAAATGTTTCATCTATCACAACTACTTGGCTAACTCTATGGGACTTTGGGTTTTCCTGTCTGAAACATTTAGAGGAGTGGTTCCTAACATTTGCTCCTCTAGGTATTTTGGACTTCAGCTCACAAAATTCATGACAGTTGGCCAAACTGGATAAGGCTTTTGGGGGTTGAAGTCTCAAAGGCTTGGATGACCAAAGGTTGGGAACCATTAATCTGGAGAGTCAAAATTCTCTCATTCCTCGTTATTGACAGAGCCAGCCCTGTTATAAGAAGAAAAAAAAAGCATTAGGGATGGCAAAAAATGGGATGGGCAGCCAACTCAATTATGGGACACTATTCTCAGGGAAATTATTATTTGATTGGATGTGTATCTAAGATGCTCAAAGATAGAGGGGCATTATATGGTATGACTCTATATTCACAGAATGACACTAAGAGATATGTCAAGTTGACAGATTGTGACTAAGCTCAAGGAAATGCAGTGAACTTTGTTTCTGAATTTGTTGTCATCTGCATTTGGAATGGCCTCTGTGATCTTCAGGAGGTCTCCGGAGATGGTTGCTAATTTGAACTGATGTAATGACATGAGTGCAGGTGGAGTTAACCCAATTCAACAAACCAGTTGTTGAGCTCTGATTAAACCCTGCCCTCTTCACTTACCTTTTAGCATGAGTGGTCAGATATTGCGTGTGGTTTTGATCCTGCACAATGAACAGCAATTGAGGGGCACTTTGGTCTAGGCCCATAAAATATGTTTACCTACAATCAATAGTAAGCACAATGAGATTTGCAATCATAAGGTGATATGAAGAACCATGCCAGACCAAACTATAGCCCTACCTAGTCCTGGATTCTGATCACACACTAGTCCACCAAGATAGACATCTCCATGGGAAGCCCACAGAAGGAAGACACATGTGCTATAGTGTCCTCCTTTGTACTCCCGTCAACAAATACACCACCTCTGATAATGTGTTGAAACAAGTAGCCCGTGACAGCCCTGTCCCCCTTTAAAATGTCCAATCCTCTTCTATAGCCATCCAAATTGGCAGCCAACACTCCTCCATGGGAGGTTGATCCATTCCATTCCTACTTTCAGTATGATCCTAGGTTCTAGTAACATGAAAGAGAGATAAAAGCTTATTTTAACCAGGAAAACTTTTAGACACTTCTTCTACACAGTCTTCTCTGGAAATCTGGTAAGGAGGTGGAGGAATGGTGTATGCACACCATCAATTGCAAAATATTTTGAAATTGGTGGTGACTTATGGCTCTCACTTCAGTAGGATGATGTCCCTTATTTAGATTTTGGACTGAACTTTAAATGACCTGTCAAAGATGCTGACCCAACATTTCAGGAGGTTTCAAATGCATTGGTGGCTGGTAGTTTCCATGCCAGTGAGGGAAGTGAATCTGCTATAGGTTAAAGTTTGGGCTAAAACTCAGATCAGATTCACTGCCCACCTGATGTGGAATTACTTCAGTGCCAGAGCTTGTAATCACATAAATATGGAATGCAAATGCTAATTGTGAACCTTGTGGATAAACTGAGCTTCATATTTGAATGACCAATCCAGCCCTTAGGGATATACCTTCTTGCTTTTAATATCTCTCCCTTTATGTATCCACGCTCTTTTGCAGACACAGCAGATTCGGGCCAACAGGGAAGCAAGCAAGAAGATTTAAAGTCTCCACAGTTAAACATTCACCATGATTCCTTTTAAATGAGGCTTAGAGATCCCTGCTAAATAAATCGGATTGCTGGGGCTTCCCGGTTTGTGGTATGCCGCTGCCATTAGTTGATGGACAGTTATTGAAGGAACTCAGGAACAGGGTTGGTTTTTTAAAAAATTTAAATGCTTCCAATATGAACCACTCTCAAGGTAACCATTACTATCTCTTAAAAACATTTTATTATGAAGGCAAATGTATGTTTTAGCAATGCTCAGATGGCTACTTAATGTCATGTTTATCCCAGGCCAGACACTCTCTGAAACAAATGAGAGTTTTAAGATCTAGCTTTCCTTTTTGTTTAATGGAGGCAAAGTTGTTTAAATCATCCACTTCCATATAAACGTTTCACTTAAAACAAGCCGACCTATTCCTCTCCATTAAAAGTTCATTCATCACAAACAGGGGAAAGGTTTCAGCAAGTTTCAAAGAGGGATTGGACATCTCAATGCAGCAGGGAGAATAGCTAATAGTTTCACATAGTGGCGCTCCGAATGTGAAACCGCCTGCCTTGGGGCTGTACCTGATCTCCGCTCTGTCATTCCAGCAAGTGATCTCATCAAAGGTTGCGTGCTCCCCTCCCTGCCTCCCTGCAAATGCTTCAGATGTTCTGCAACACATGTGGCAGGGACAGGATATTGGTCGATAGAGGCCATATGTGCAAGCCTGTGTGGCATGACATTTCACAAAAATGATTTCTAGTTTTTAAAAAGTCCAGCTATGACACAGATTTCTTGTCAGCAGTTTGGACCGGATGCTAATGAGTGTACAAACACAGGAAGCATGATGGATCTTATTTCCTGTGTCTTCACACTTTGTATTGTCGAAGGCTTTTCACACTTTGTTAATGCTCAGACTGGAAACTCATAGACCATCTCCATGTGGAGATTATGGAGATGTTGTACATGAATACCCAAAAGTGTGATGGTCTCAAAATCAAAGAACAAATGCCATGCGGTCAGATGGCACAACATTCCAGGAATTATATTAGAAATTATATCCCTAGGCATTTCCTAAATCCTCTATTTTGACTCTATACCTGAATTCCGCCTCTTCACTTACTAGTCCTTAAATACAACACCATCTTTGCTTGAAAAAATTAAAAGAAAACCAACTAAACCATGTACACTTGAACTTTTATATCCCAGTTCAAGTAAGCATTCCCTACTTGTACCCCATTTTTTGTTTTGGGCTCTGACTGAAAATGAGTGCATATGCAGGCATATTTTCATGGCACAGTTTGACTGTAAAACTTGTTTTAGATTCACTGATAATGGGAGATATGGCTCTTTTTTTTTTTTGCACCAGCACTCTTACCTGGGAATAAGTACCACTGAGCAGAAAAGGATTTATTCCCAACTAAACACACACTACTTGACATTTCAAGTAACTTCCAAGAGCTACGGTTCCTATCTATCACATTCACTTGTTCAGAAGGATGGAACTTGTAACCACAATGATCTGAAGGACATTCAGTTGGCAGAACTGAATTATAGAAGATAGATTGGAACGAACAGTCCCAGTGCTTCCAGCGCACAGGGATCTTGCACTCATAGATTTGGCAGCTATCCATTACGATTATGATTATGTGATTTGTTATTATTTTTATACCCTGCCTCAAGGTGGCAATCAAAAGATTTAAAACAGTACAAATTAAAAACAGAAAAAAGAATTAATATAAGATTTTAAAAAGATTAAGTAAGCGATGAAGTTAAAACATCAACCATTAAATGCACTAAAAGACTCAGTACAAATCTTAAATACAGCCTATGCAATCATGTTTCAGCAGATGTCGTTAGGTTCCTAGAACTATAAAGCATTGAAGCCAGATTGAAGACTGTAATTTATTAGTCCAAAACACAACCTGGGATCAAAACAGCCTGTTGCCAAGACCCAGAAGGGTCAGAAGTAAAAGAAAATGGCCCAGAACAGAAATGAATCAGATCTAGACTGATAACCAGAAGTCTGAAGAATGAACAGAAACTGATTTGCAGCTTTAAAGCACTTTGATGTAATTCCTTCTCATCTTTCTGAGTGACCTTTCACTAAAGCCCCTTCTACACTGCCATATAATCCAGATTATCAAAGTAGATAATCCACATTATCTGCTTTGAAGTAGATCATATGAGTCTACGCTGCCATGTAATCCAGTTCAAAGTAGATAATCTGTATTTTATATGGCAGCATAGAAGGGGACTAAGTCTTGAGTAAAAATGTAAGAGAGATTTTTTTTTTCCATGCTCAGAAGTTCGCATGGTAAATCTCAAGGTTAAACCCCTAGTACTTTCATGCAAAAGAAAGAGGTAGCAATTCACTGGGAAACCCTCTCTTTGACATCCTGGACAATACTACTGCCAGGTCAGAGATGGCTGTTCTCAACCTGTGGATCCCCAAGTGTTTTGGCCTACAACTCCCAGAAATCCCAGCCAGTTTACCAGCTGTTAGGATTTCTGGAAGTTGAAGGCCAAAACATCTGGGGACCCACAGGTTGAGAACCACTGGGCTAGATGGACAATCAGTGCTCTTCCACACAGAATATCAAGACAGAAAATCCCACAATATCTGCTTTGAACTGGGTTATGAGTCCACACTGTCATATATTTCAGTTCAAAGCAGATAATGTGGGATTTTATTCAGCTGTGTGGAAGGGGCCTCAGTCTGTCCTTCTGTTTAAGTATTTCTGTTTATGTAGCAGGATAGGCATAGGCAAGAGGGGAAAAAACACTTGGGGGAGGAAATGCTTTGGTGGCTTGATGTGTCTGAAAACTTCTTACTTGATCACCTTCTTTGGCTATGTGATTCCAGATACAATACACACATAAAGACAGAACTGTGCCTTCTTAATACTCAGACTGAGATATTCATCCCAATTGTTCTTCAAGTAACTGTGGTTAACTAACACCTTTTCTCATCATACAGAATCCATTGGTGTCTCTCCACCTTTTGAGATGGAAACTGCTGAGTTTGGGCTCTGTGGAGACAGCCTCCTCCACAACAAGGCCAGTTGCAGATCCATTGGCATTCAGAACAAGCATAGAAGTGCTCTTCTCTCATTTTGATTGTCAATTCGTAAGTAAAGAAGTGCGATCTCCATGGAAGTTCCCCTCCTTAGCCCAAGCCTGTTAATTTATTTGTATAAATTCTACGATTGCCTTTTATGTTCATTTAATGGCTATTAAGAAGAGGAGATTATTTTTATGTTCTTATCATTGCTTTTGAATCATTTGTTGGGGCTCCTCTGCAACAAATTAATTTCATTACTATCATTTCTTCCCAGATGTTTTTATGCATGTTGTAATTCCAAATAAAAGCTAAGCAAGTACAGAAGGAAAACAAGTCTGGCCTCTTTGTATTTTTTCATTCTCTTACTCCTCCCACTGCCAAAGGAGAAAAAAAAGTCCTTAGATTTCTATTCAGCTTAGAAGAGAAACAATCAGACGCCCATGATCTATAAAAAGAAATTACAGGGAAAGAGAGAGAGAGAGATTTGTCAGCTCCATTGATGTTTTCAATATCTTTCATTACATCCGTAAAATTAAAACGCATGGAGCAAATCTACAGTGTTGGTTGGCTAATAAGAGAAGTAAAAAGTTGTTAATCAAACATGTGGCCTTATAAAATAAAAGAAATAATTGGAAAAGATATCTAATTTGTCTATTGAATGCCTCCAACACTCTCTTTATCACTTAGATGGACAGAATATAATTGGTACGGTGAAAGCCATCCATCTTCGCAACTGGGCTTCCTGAGCAGGCTACAACTATTACTGTCATATTATGACACCATAATATCAAGATCAATGTTGTTTTAAATGCACTCCAGTTATGGGCAATTGGTGACAATAAAAACAGTGACAAATTGATGAAACAAGCATCAAATGATCTGGTGTCTAAAATAAACCATAAATAATCTTTGTTGTTTGGTTTTTTAAATAAAAAAATAGCCACCGAATTCACAGTCACTGGAGGGAGGGAGGGGGGTCATAGATTTGACTTCCTCCGTGGATCAATCTACTCTAAATGTATTTTTTTTGTGCCGTGCTATCTGACAAGATACAATTTTCTTGAAGGGAGAAACTTTCTGATTTGATTTAAGGGTCATTCCCCAGCAGCTTCATAATGTCATTGTTAGCATAATTGCGGCCCTGAGAAGGAATTTAATCATTTACAAAAGAAAACATGCATGTGGATTTCTGGATGAGCAATCACCTCAACTGGATGTGAGGTTTTGCATTTCAAAGCAGCACAGGCATTGCCTTTCTGTATTTTGCATCTCCAGGAATAGGGCCAGCCCTACAATTAGGCAGAATTAGGCAACTGCTTCAAGATGCCGTGGTTGCTGTGAGGATGGAGCAATGCCAGGCTAGAAGATAGAGCTCCATATCACCATACCTTGTCTCCTGGATGCCCTAAGTTAGTTTGCCATCCTCAAGTGAGTTTTGGACATGCAATCCATAGCCACTTTTGGAATAAAAAATTACTACCACTCTGCTTGGTCTCTGGAGATACCAATTTGTCCTTTGACAACAAAATGCTTTGGATTGACCCTGTCTAATAAATAAGCACTAGTAGCTAATGACGTTGCAACCTTTGTCTCCACAAAATCACCTCACTTTCATCCATTCATGAACATTTTGACATGGAAAAAAAGGAAGGGCAAGGAGAGATTTCTTTCTGCATATTGGGGTTCATTCAAATTAAAGAACTACAGCATATTATTCCACTTTAACTGCCACAGTTTCATATTATGGACCTCTGGGGGGGGGGGGGTGTTGTGTTGCACTCCATGCCTGGAAACACCTATGACCACCACACCACAAAAGAGTCCAGGAATATAAACCAACAGTTTATTGTAAAACATATAAAAAGCATATAAAAAGCAGGAATAAGAAAGGAAGATATACGATCCAAAAAGGTTTAGCAACGGGTGATAACCAAACAAGAATCCAAATGTCTCATAAAGTTCCAGAGGTGACAAAGTCCAGGAACAACTAGAAATTACAGGTACAGGAGAAGTCCACAATCAAGAAGGTATAACTAGTAAAACGTGAACAAGAGTACATGAACAGGAACACAGAAAACTTCAGGATATTAAAATCCAAATCAAGGCTCGACTTGAACCAGGAACAAGAAAACTCAGGCTTAGTTTCTCACTGTAATGCAGTGTTGCCTGAACTGCCCCTGAGGTAAACAACTTGTTGTTTAATAGACATCCATGAAAGCATTACATCTTCCGTGAATTTTCTCCACAACTTTCCCATATAATCTCTCAGACCAGCATAATCTGTTTTCGGCTCAGATTTGTAAATAAAGACTTTTGTTGATCTCCATAGCTACAGGTGGTTTCTCCTGGGAACCCTCTTTATCACTTAGATTTTCACTCGATTTCTTATCTGCTGTTGCTACTTCTGACTCCTTGGACTGGCCTTGAGGCCCTGTACATTCTGAGCCAGTTTTCCTCACAGAGAGAAACATCATTTCTCAGACCTGATTTGAGAGCTCATCGCTTTGTCCCACAGGAGAGCCCACAATCCTCTCTAAATCATCAGTTAAACCATCAGCCTCTGCCTGATCTACAACAGGTTGTAGTTTGGACTTATTCACACTACAAAGGTATTATTTTATGAAAACAACATTCAATCGGGATTGCCCTTTTTCCGTATGCACCTTTGGACCATTTCTGGGATTGCAGTTATCTGATTATGCGAATACCTTATTACACACTACTATCTCTTCCCTACCCCTTTTCCTAATTCAGTATCCACTCCAAATACAAATGAAAATAGTCTTACATTTAAAGAGGCCCTTTTTTCAATGCAGGAAGGGAAGGCTTCCTGATTGCGATAAATGGAACTTCTCAGACATAACTAATTGCTGGCAGACAAAAGTCAGCAGCTACCATATCTGTCTGAACTACCCCCATGCCAGCAATTAGTATGTCTGAAGGAAGAAACAGCAAGAAATAGGCTTTTCCACTTACATTTCTAGGTGTGTGTGTGTATGAGAGAGAGAGAGAGAGAGAGAGAGAGAGAGAGAGAGAGAGAGAGAGATGTTAGTGCACCAGGGCATTATAACACTGTAGCATGAGAGAGACTAGAAAAGGAGGCTGGGAGGGCATCAGGGAGCAACATTTTGGTTTTTCTGCCAAACCTCATTGGGAGGGGGGCAATGGGTTTTTCCCCCCTACACTGTTACTATGCTTAGCCAATTGCATGCCCTGGCCATTCAAAATCAGCATAAAATCAGCATAAAAATGCAATTGAACTTTTGCACAGGAAATCATCACACAGAAGAAATGGAAAACGAGGTCATTAATTGATATTTTGTGTTAATAAAAAGAAACACTTTTCAAATGTTATCCCATGGGGGAACAATACAAGATCTATGGTATCATGCAATAAGCCACAACCAAAGGTGCTATTATCCTGATGCAATTGGGATCTACCTGCCTCATGTGATATAAGGTTCCGGAGGCAGTAGAGGAAACCTCAGGCTGAAGATTGATAAACATCTCTTTTTCAACTGTCCATTCCAGGATCCCATAAGAAAGCAGCCATGTCAGTTAAAGTGGAATCATAGTGCTATTATAGCTCAAGGTCTCTTCTCTGTGTTCCACTGAAGTGAAAGCAATCTCCAAAAAAGGAAAAAAAAAACTCTCCAGATCCAGTCCATGCATTTGGGAGAACCTTTGCCAACCTTTAATGTGGGGCAGTAAGCTCTGAAACTATTGCCCTTTATCCTCAGTATCAAGAGTATCAAGAGTAGGAGCTCTGTACACGTCTTCCTATTTATTTAGGTTTTTCCCTCACCTTGAAGAAGCTGAGGGTGGTGACGGCCGACAGGGAGCTCTGGTGTGGGCTGGTCCATGAGGTCACAAAGAGTTGGAAACGACTGAATGAATGAACAACAACAACCCTCAGATTAAATCCAGTCGTGTCCGACTCTGGGGGTTGGTGCTCATCTCCATTTCTAAGTCAAAGAGCCAGTGCTGTCCGTAGACACCCCCAAGGCTATGTGAACACATGACTCTTTATTTATCATTTATTTATTTCAAACATTTTTACCCCCTCCTTCTTAACTCCGGGGGGGGGGGGGAACGAACTCAGGGCATCTTACAACAGGCAACAATTTGATGCCAAGACAAACAGGTCCACTATTGCCAAAGCAGAACAGTAACAAGCATATATTTCACCGTTTGCACAAGATACAATAAACAAAACTCTATAATAAACATAAGAATGTTGTATACACAATACGGATTGTAGTCTTTTGGAAAAAAATGATATCAATTGAGAAGAGTTTCTGTTTCCTATTTGAGATCTTCTATCCTTGTAGGAGAAAGTTTACAATACAGGTTCTTTAAGGCAGATTCTTCCTTTAAAGTTTTTTTTTTGTCGTGTCAGGAGAGACTTGATAATCTGCAAGTCACTTCTGGTGTGAGAGAATTGGCTGTCTGCAAGGACATTGCCCAGGGGACGCCCGGATGATTTGATGTTTTATCATCCTTGTGGGAGGCTTCTCTCATGTCCCTGCATGAGGAGCTGGAGCTGGTAGAGGGAGCTCATCCGCCTCTCCCCGGATTTGAACCTGCGACCTTTTGGTCTTCAGTCCTGCCGGCACAGGGCTTTAACCCACTGCGCCACCGGGGGCTCATTTCTTTAAAGTGATAGTTCCATTTACTCTCTTATGAGAAATCATTTATACAGTCAAGTTTCTAAGTGCAGATATTCCTCACCACGACCGGTTTCGACTTATACACAGTCTTCTTCAGGTGGAGAAATATAGTTTTACAAAATAAAGTGGACCTAAAGGGAACGAGAAGAGTGGCTAAGAAGGTTTCTTAATGGCAAGTATGTTCATATAATACAAACATGCAATTAGTAAGTTACAACTATATCAAAACATAATTTTTAGTTTCTCAGTTCTTGTGGGTTTTTTCGGGCTATATGGCCATGTTCTAGAGGCATTTCTCCTGACGTTTCGCCTGCATCTATGGCAAGCTTCCTCAGAGGTGAGGTCTGCTGGAGCTGGGAAAAAAGGGGTTTATATATCTGTGGAATGACCAGGGTGAGACAAAAGGCTTTTGTAAGTTGGGCTAGGTGTGAATCTTTTCAACTGACCACCTTGATTAGCATACAATGGGCTGACAGTGCCTGGAGCAAACTCTTCTTGAAAGGTGATTAGATGTCCCTGCCTGTTTTTCTCTCTGCTGTTTTAATTTTAGAATTTTTTAATACTGGTAGCCAGATTTTGTTCATTTTCATGGTTTCTTCCTTTCTGTTGAAATTGTCCACATGTTTGTGGATTTCAATGGCTTCTCTGT